TATATATATATATATGGGTCTCCTAGACACCTACAAATTCGTACTCTACTAGACGTCTCTCCACTTGTTCCACGGGTCTCTAGTGTTCCACTTCAGCACTATCACTTGGGAATGAAAATAAGATCTCTTGTGCTCCACTAAACACTATCACTTGTGAATAGAAGTAATATCTCAGTGATCAGAAAGACTCCAAATGATGCCTTTGAATATGCTTTATTGAAGGCCGGGAGGACCTCATATCAATCACAGAGAATCCCACAGGCAAAAAAAGAATACAATTTATATAGCATAGGTACATGGCAAAGGTAACATGACTCATGACAAATTAGTGTTATTTCAACACACACTAATTTTGGCTAAAATGTTGGTAATGTTTTATCTCAAAAGCAAATATTAAGCACGCTAGAGAAGAGAAAAAGAAATGAAGCACTGAATTGATTCAAGTAAAATAAAGTATGTATTATGCTAAATCATTCCCACAACTCTTTCTGGTGGTTAAAGCGGCACAGTTTCACTGCATGCATGATCACAGGTGGTTGAGCAGCATTTCTGTCCGGCAGGGCACTGACCATCATGGGAACAATATTCGGCACACACTGCATTCCCCTTCAGTAGGGCACATAGCCTGCATGGATAGAGATTAAGATTTAGTCTGGCCATTTAGTGACATTAAGCGTCAGATGTACAGCACTAATCTACACAGCACTGACAATGAAAAATACTTCTAAAGCATTTATTAAGTAAGGAATAATTGACGGCGAGCCATCAAATTATTAGAAAATAATGCACTCCCGAGATGGTAATGAGGTCACGAATGTGCCTTATTTTCTTCTAATTCAACAGACTGGACCGGAGTCAATTAGCTATTACGCTTATCATTATGTTTAGAAAAAATGGAAATAATTTGTTGTTTTTATCCTATTGTTTACTACATTTATTTGCTTGGTCAGTGTCGTCGTGGGTTTTGGATCTTTTGCTGTTTTAGGCTGTAAGAACCTTTCAAATAACTGAAATCATTTGAAAATAATTCCTTGAAAATAATTGCACACCTTAGATCGTTTGTCGACTAATCAGATTCAAGCATTCAACAACCCAGTAATATGCACCTTTTACTGACGAGCCTACTGCGTTTTGAATGCTATGGAATGCCAGACCAGACATAATAATAAATAAATAAATATAGGAAGAAATGTAAAAAAAAGATGTTGGCCACATTCCCCTTCTCTAAGTCATTAATTCCCTGCATGACCTGTACAGGCACGTCCACAAACCTCTTGGGTATTGTTTGGTTACACCACAAGGTGTCACTGTGGCCTCAAAGCTTCAGCACTGCCACTCTGAGCTCGATTGCTATGTCTGAGGTAAAACACGCCCCTCGCATTAGCATACAGAGGAATACATGTAGAAATAAATAAATGTAGAAATAAATCAATGTGGAAATAAATAAATGTTGACAAATGCATACTGTATATACGTACATAAATAAATGTGAAAAAAAATAAATGCAAAAAATAAATTTGGAAAAAAATACAATTATACATAAATTAGGAAATAAAAGTATAAATACTCATATGTATTTTTGTTTTTTTACATTTGTTTGTATATTTATTTATGTATTTATTTATTATTATGTCAGGTCTGGCATTCCATATAAACAGTCAAAAAAGGTGAAAAAGGAAAAAGGTTGATGACAGAAGCCATATCACTGAATGCTGAATAAATATGTCACCGTAAAAATATTTTTTAAAATAGCTCAACAACAAATGTTTCAAGTAGTTTCCTCAAATTCAACTGAAAATGCAACTTTTAATGACTTCTGCAGTCTCAAAATTATTCAACCCCTTTATGGCAAGCATACTAAGAAGACCATTTTGCTATTATGACCTGCTCCAAACGAGATGTATAACCAGACACCAGCTTCTGGCAGCGTTTCTGATGAATCTTAGCCCATACATTATGAGCAATGGCCTCCAGTTCAGTAATATTCTTGGGTTTGCAACTTCAAATCCCACCAGAGATTTTCTATGGCGTTCAAGTCAGGTGACTGTGATGGCCACTGTATAATCTCTCAGGACTTCTTCTGCAACCAAGCCTTGGTGGAATTTGAGGAATGATTGAGATCATTGTCGTGTTGGAAGGTCCAATAACGCCCAAGCTTCACCTTCCTTACTGACAGCATGACGTTTTCTCCTCGGATTTCGCGATACTTCAGTGAATCCATCTTAGCTTCCGCACGCTGCAGGTTTCCAGTGCCAGAGGATGCAAAGCAGCCCCAGAGCATCAACGACCACCGACATGCTGAACTGTAGACAGAGTGTTCCTTTTTTAGCATTTGCTTCATTCTTCTTCCTCCAGACATACCACTAATCCAGGCTGAAAAGTTCCAGTATTGTTTCATCGCTCCACAGAACAGAATCCCAAAACTTCTGTGGCTTATTGATATGATTTTATGCACTTTTCTTGTGCTTTTGCGTCAGTAGTGGTGTACGCCTTGGAGTTCTGGCATGGAAACCGCATGCGTTTAGTGAGTTGCCACCAAGTCTTCCTGCCGGTCTTTTGCAGTCACTCAAGCGTTTTTCTGAACCTGTCTTCTCAGAAATCTGCTTGCAGCCGTTGATAGCTTCCTTTTTCTGCCCCGTCTAGGTAGTGTAACCACTGTTCCTTTAACTTTGAACTTTAGCCATAGGAAGTTTCCCCAGGATCTAGGAACTTTGGGGTGGTACCAGGAACCAGGGTCTAAATGAAGTTCAGAGTAATAATTTCCCCCTCAGAAAGTCCCTGCTTGCGATTTAGTTTGGGGGTGGGACTTGGGCGCTGAACATGCTGATTGGTTGAGTTCATGCCGCATTTTGATTGATTGACTCCATGCAGGATTTCATTTCAACCACAATTTTTAAAAATCTGTTGCGGACGGTGCATGGAGTCCTACATCACCGGACTAATTTGCCTAATCTTCACGGTACTTAACACCGCGGTTGAAACGCAGAAAGCAACAGGTTTGGGGGAAATGGGGGAAAAAGTTCCTGGGACAAATTGTCCAAGGTAATTTCGGTGGAAACGCGGCTTATGCTTCCAACGGTGTCTCTAGAAACATTTAGTGCCTTCGCTATCTTTTTGTATCCTGTTCCTTGTTTGTGAAGGGCGATGATATCTTCTCTTAACTCTTTTGACTTTTGTCATATTTCTAATATGCAGTCAAACGTGAAACTCAACAAACCTAGTCAGTTCTAGCTCAAGCACACCTGATGCAACTAATGAAGCCCTTGATTAGTTGCATCAGGTGTGCTTGAGACAACACCTGTTTAGCAGATTTGTGCTGTTGTAAGGGATTCTATTCAGGGGGTTGAATAATTTTGAGAAAGAAGTCATTAAAAGCCACTTTAAACATTTGTTGTGTTAAACTATTTCAATCACTTTTGTTTGATTGAATGTTTGTATCTGTTTCCAGGATTTCTTCATAAATTTCACTTGTCTAAGAAAATAATAAAACTCAAAATATTATTCTCAAACTTACACTGGAGCATGCTAAATCTGACGACTTTCACTTTTAAATCCATGATTAGGATTTGGTCATTGGTTCACATTGTTTTATATATAGCTATCTACACTGGTTAGATAGAAATAGTTAAGGCTTTTTAATGAAGAAGGAATTTATTTGATAAAAAATAGCTAGTCTGTAGCCTATTTTTGATCAAATAAATTCATCCTTATAGTAAAAATATTGTGAAATATTACTTCAATGTAAAATATCTGTTTTCTATGTGAATATTGTAAACTATAATTTATTCCTATGATCAAAGCTGAATTTTTAGCATCATTACTCCAGTCTTTAGTGTCACATGATCCTTCAGTAATCATTCTGATATGCTGATTTGCTGCTCAATTATTATCAATTATTATTTGTTAATAATGGTTATTTTTATTTGGAATGCTGAAAAATGTATTTGTGTATTCATATTTTTGTGGAAACTGTGGAAATAATAATCAGACATGTTTCTTGAGCATTTAATTAGCATACTAGAAACATTTCTGAAGGATCATGTGACACTGAAGACTGGAGTGATGATGCTGGAAAATCAGCTTTGATCACAGGAATACATTTAGCAAAAATGTTCAAATAGAAAAAAAAATATTTTTCAATTTTAACAATATTTCGCAATATTACTGTTTTTACTGCATTTGTCATCATTATACGAATTTTTACACTCTTTTCCACAATCGGAGCTCTATTCCATAAAATGACAGGATTGTCATAATGTCAAGCTCCTGAAAGGACAAATACTATAACCACTAGAAAGGCAAAAGCAGTACACATTCTGCACTACATTCTAAGTCTTCTAGACCAGTGCTTCTCACACCTGTCCTGAGGATCCACCGCTCTACACATTTTGTATGTCTCCCTTATTTACCACACATATCAGATCATCAGCTCATTAGATGAGAACTGTACTGTATGCTGCATGGTTACTTTTGATATGCTCAATGTTTTATTGAACAGCGCTTTGGTGCAAGTTGCTTTTAAATGTGCTATAGAAATAAATGTTGTATTATAAGATAATATAATAATACCTGTAACTGGAGCCATACACTGAAGTCCACATCCATTGCTGCAGCATTTCTTATTGTTGGCACAGTCACTGTCATCGGCACACGACACGAAACGCATCCAGGCACACTTTCCTGGTCCATATTTTCTGCTTGGACACACTCCTGGGTTTTCTGTTATACAGACACATGACAGAGAAGCCAGATCACTGAATGCTGAATGAATTTTTCACCGGGGTTTTTGGTTCTTTTGCTGTTGTTGCTGTAAGGAACTTTGAAATAACAAATCATTTGTCAAAGTGATATGGACATGTAATGCGGTCAAGACCTGCCTGGAACTACTTTAGCCGTGTGTTTCCCTGAAAATAACTGCACACTTAAGAATCTTCGTCAACCAATCAGATTCAAGCATTCAACAGCCCTGTAGTATAATGTAATGTAATGTACTGTAATACCTGTAACTGGAGCCGTACACTGAGTTCCACCGCATGCAGTGCCGCAGCATTTCTCATTGTTGGGACACTCACTGTCATCGGCACACAACTCTTCACCCTTCATGAAACACATCACTTCTACATAGCTTGTGCTTGGACACACTCCTGGCTTTGCTGTTATAAAAACACATGGCAGAGAATCCATATCACTAAATGGTGAATGAATTTTTTACATTAAAAAATTATTTTCTGAAGTTGTAAATATTATTGTAATACGTTTTACAAGAAATAACTATTTCAGTCTTTCTACTTATTTTTTTTTTTATTCAATGTATTACATGCTGTTCTTCTGTTTCTATTTTTTTTTTTTTAAACTTTACTAGCAATTTCTGATCTAAAATGCAAACACCTTGGGTCCATTATTCTGCTTTTTTCATTATTTCCAAAAAAACATGGAAATAATTTGTTCTTTTTATCCTATTGTTTACTACATTTATTTGCTTGGTAAGTGTTGTCGTGGGTTTTGGTTCTTTTGCTCAGTGGCAAGAGCATGGCGGGGGGCAGAGGAGGCTTGAGCCCCTGCCCCTGTAATCGTGAAAGTGAAAGTGCCCTATTCGGGCGTATCGCGGTGCCCTGCGGAACGCTTTTTCTCCAATCACCCAATAAGACTTCTCAACTTCTGAACTTCAGTTCTCGGTTATTTTTATTGTATTTGGTTTAATGTGTTTATATTTTGTATGCTGCATGGTTTATTTTTATATGCTCAATGTTGTATTGTACAGCGTGTTAGTGCAAGGTGCTTTTAAATGTGAATATAGAAATACATTTTGTATTATAATATAATATAATAATACCTGTAACTGGAGCCATACACTGAAGTCCACATCCATTGCTGCAGCATTTCTCATTGTTGGCACAGTCACTGTCATCGGCACACGACACGAAACGTATCCAGGCACACACTTCTGCTTCATATCTTGTGCTTGGACACACTCCTAGGTTTGCTGTTATACAGACACATGACAGAGAATCCATATCACTGAATGTCTTTTTCACTGGGGGTTTTGGTTCTTTTGCTGTTGTTGCTGTAAGGGACTTGAAATAACTGAAATCATTTGTCAAAGTGATATGGACATGTAATGCGGTCAAGACCTGCCTGGAACTACTTTAGCCGTGTGTTTCCCTGAAAATAATTACACACCTTAGAATCTTTGTCAACCGATCAGGTTAAAGCATTCAACAGACCTGTAGTATAGCTAATATAAATTGAAGATAATATAATATAATACCTGTAACTGAAGCCATACACTGACGTCCACCGCATGCAGTGCCGCAGCATTTCTCATTGTTGGCACAGTCACTGTCATCGGCACACAGTGCTAAACCCATCATGAAACACATTGCTGCTTCATGATTTGTGATTGGACACACTCTTGGGTTTACTGTTATACAGACACATGACAGAGAAGCCATATCACTGAATGCTGAATGTTTTTTTTTTCAATGTAAAACATATATTTGTAAGTTGTATAATATTGGAATACGTTTTACAACAACGAACACCTCGGGTGTGCATTATTTTCTCTAAATGCAACGTCAATTAAAATAAGTCAATTATTCCGCTTATCATTATTTCCACAAAAAAAGGAAATAATTTGTTGTTTTTATCCAATTATTTACTATATTTATTTGCTTGGTCAGTGTTGTCGTGGGTTTTGGTTCTTTTGCTTTCTTTCGGCATTGAATTGCGGGGGTTGCGCAGGATTTCATTCCCGTGCTTCATTCCCAGTGCACATAAAGCTGCCTCTTTTTCATGGCTTGTTGCGCTTATGGTCAAATCACACGAAAATATTGTCACAACGTCCGTCTTGCCGCGTATTCACATAGACACGTCGGTTATGTCCGGGCTGTCAACGGTAACACATGCGATTAATGTTTTTCAGTTAAACGCGTTATTAACGCAATTAACGCAGCATCCGTTTTTTCTGTCATCCTTTGGCTAGCGTTACATTATATGATCACATTCTTCTTCATGCAAATGCTTTTAAACAATGCAAGCGCGAAAAGACAAAAGAGAACGGTCTGCCTGTGATTGTCCTTTCACACACAGGGCGCACAGATAGACGCGCGCCAGAATCGACTTCTCTTTCGCGCTTGAACGAATAATAACACCCAATTATGCCAAAATGTCCGTTTTGTTGAGTATCCTCATAAGATCAGTCTTAAATTAGTAAAATAAAGTCTTAAGGAGCGTAAAGAGTTGGGACGCATGCTCCACATGTGCAGTGACAGCAGAATCAAACACAGGTAACAGAGAAAATTACTCACTGCTCTTGACTAAAGAACGCTTGTAGCTTTAATAAGGATTAATCTATATTTAATTTATAATTTATGCAGTGAAGACTGTAAAGTATTTGATAACTAAATTACATTTCCTACCTGTTAGACAGGTAGGAAGGGCACAGTTAAATATGACATTTATTATGGACTTATGTGAGGATTGTTTTAAGTTCACTTAAATTAAAAGTTGTTATATTTTTTGGAGCCTAATGCATGTTAAAATGTATAGCCTTCAATTATACTGTAGTGTTGAATGGCGATAATTAATGTTTAAAATTGAAAAATAAATAAATCATTGAAGACATCAGTAGCAGTATCCCCATATAAAAACACAAATAGACAGAGTAAGCAAACATTTAGGTGAGATTTGCAATGGTAATTGAACAATGTTTATATATGAATAGAGGGTATGCATTGATGTCACTTTCCCACGGGAACACGCCCCCTCAGCTGGACTGAGTGGCAAAAGAGCTGTTGCGTGACTGGATTTAATAGGTAAAACTGCGGAAACGAGAGTAAAACAAACGATGGTTGGACTCGATATAAGTGTTCCTTACAACTTAGGCCTACCTACAACTTTAACATCAACCGACATAAATGAAATACTCAGTCAGATACGCAAATGATTGTTTTGTCGTCACACAGGGTCAAGGCCTGGGGGCTGTTCCATAAATGAAGCTTAGAAAAGCGGGGATTAAACTCCAAAACCGGACTTGAATGAGCCTAACAAATAAGTTGGGGCTAAAGTGGTTCCATAAAAGGTAATTGAAGTTCACGCAATCTCACTAATTTGATCCAGGTTTATCTAGTCTAGATAATTGCGTGTGCACGCGTTTCTGAAGCAGCCCTAGAGGTCGATCGTGGATCAAATCGATCCACCATCAAACAGCTATATTTTGTGCTGTTTTATGCGTTTGTGACATGTTTTTTCCCCCCTCAGTGCAAAAATGACATTTTACAGTTATATTCTCCATCTGTAAATGTTAGAAAGTCATGCAAATGTATCCATTTTGCTGCTAATCTTCATATTGAACGAGCGCTGCTGCGCGCATGCGCGCCAAATAGGAGCGCAATAATTCTGACTAAAATATACATTTTGCTTGGAAAATTAATATGCGATATTTTATAACACTAGAAATATCTTCTAATTATAATAATTTCTCTTTAGGATGTTGGATAAGTTGCAGTGAACTTCTAGCTTATTACACTCATATATTTTATACTTCTAATAAAAAAAAAAGAAATTGAACAGAAGTAGCCTAATTCAGGGAAGATTTTTTTTAAGAAACTAAATATATAAAGATACAAAATATAGTTTTGGGTATAGGACCTATGCTACTTTATAAAGATGATATATACTTATTTAGAATGCTGAGAATTACAGCTTTTAATGCAATCATTTTTTTGAGAAAGCAAGAATCCCCAGTTTTAAATGAGTGGTTAGATTTAGTTTCTAAAGTACATTATGGAGAGGATAACATTAAATTAAGAACAAATGTATACATTTTGAAAAGATATGTGCAACTCTAAAATCAAAGAATATTCCATAAAATAAAGGAATATATATTGGCCTACATTAACTACATTTTTATGTAACCTTCCCTTTTATTTAGTTATTTGTTATTTTATTTATTTACTTATTTAATATTGAATATTTGATATTTAAATAATATTACCTGAATAACTATTAGGAATTATGTGTCATTCATTATAAGAGTTTGATATATGTGAATGTTATATTTTTATTAATATTTATTTATGGTTTTATTTATATATATGTGTTGGTATTATTACAAAAGAAAAAAAAGTAGAAGGAAAAATAAGGAATATTTATTGGGGGGAAATATGATGTCTTTAAAGGAACTATCCATTTGTATAATTGTGTTAAATGTGTTTGAAAGACATAATAAAGTACATAAAATATATATATATATATATATATATATATGATAACCGAGGCACTCCTTAATTAAAATGTCTTTATTACAAAAATGACATGTCCTAAACGGACAACTTTAAAACGCCTTATATATGTGTCTATATTGTAGCCTTATTTAAGTTGATTTTCTGTATACTGTGTATTTATAAAGTCCAATAATGGTATTAGAGACTGTCAGTGGTAATATCATTGTGTTCTTGTCGGTCAGTGTTGAGGATCTGTGTAACAACTGAGGCTTAGCCTGACAGTTAGCCTGCCGTGGACCAGGCTAGTTTCCCAGCATAAGTTGCCAGGGTAACTGAGTTTGAACTTTTTTAAGTTTGATTTTACCGAATCTACCAAAAATAAGCCCGACTAACCGAAATAAGCCTGGCTTATACTCTAATCTTGGTTTATGGAACAGCCCCCTGGTTTATTAATAAAGTCATGTAAACATGCCGTGGTTTACTTGCGTTGTTATGGTTACTGGTGTGCATGTAAACGTGCTCAATGATAACTGCAAATCCACTATTCTCTGCCTGACGTCAAGTTGTTTCTATGAATTGCATCGATCCATTTGCTTCTCTGTTCTGTAGCTTTCGGCAGTCTGTAAAAATATACCTCAGATTTCTTGTCAAATGTAGTTGTACAGTCAATCGCAAAGCTCTTTCCCATTTTAGATTTGTTTTTTGTGTTTTTCACAGCATTCACGCTGAAAACCAATGCTGTTGAAATAACTGAAATCATTTGTCAAAGTGTTATGGACATGTAATGCGGTCAAGACCTGCCTGGAAATGAAAAGACCTGCCAATGAAAATTGTATACATTTCAAGGTATCGTATCAAAGTAGTATCGTGACAACACTAGTGTAGGGTGCCACAAATTTGTGAAAAATTTCGAAGGGTGCTGTGACTGAAAATAGGTTGGGAAACACTGTTCTAGAGTAGACCATACCAGAGGATTTACTATTTGCCATGTACACCAGGAAAGACAAATTATAACGTAAAGACGTATGCCAGTCATTCATTAATGTTAATGATAAGCATTTCAATTAAACAAATGTAAATAGCATTTATATTTCTGTATCATGTTATATTTTTATGTTAGTAAGTGCTGTAAAAAATTGCTCTGTGCATAATGAGCTGGTGGGTTTTTGTGTGATTTGTTGCGGACCGGTTGTGGTGGGCCGCTCTGTGCCAGAAGGTCCAGGGCCACTTTTTATAATATAATATAATATTATAATATAATATAATATAATATAACCTGTAACTGGAGCCATACACTGAAGTCCACATCCATTGCTGCAGCATTTCTCATTGTTGGTACAGTCACTGTCATCGGCACACGACACGAAACGTATCCAGGCACACTTTGCTGCTTCATATCTTCTGATTGGACACACTCCTGGGTTTTCTGTTATACAGACACATGACAGAGAAGCCATTTCACTGAATGCTGAATGAATTTTTCACCGGGGTTTTTGGTTCTTTTGCTGTTGTTGCTGTAAGGAACTTTGAAATAACAAATCATTTGGCGAAGTGATATGGACATGTAATGCGGTCAAGACCTGCCTGGAACTACTTTAGCCGTGTGTTTCCCTGAAAATAACTGCACACCTAAGAATCTTCGTCAACCAATCAGATTCAAGCATTCAACAGCCCTGTAGTATAATGTAATGTAATGTACTGTAATACCTGTAACTGGAGCCGTACACTGAGTTCCACCGCATGCAGTGCCGCAGCATTTCTCATTGTTGGGACACTCACTGTCATCGGCA